ACCAGAGCCCGAGGAGTGAGACCCGCTTTTGCCACTTGACTTGCGTGTCAGATTTTCTTTGCGGGAATTGCATGTCGTTCCACACCCTTGAAGCAGGGTCAACCGTCCGTTGGACAAAGTCCAACGCATGGACGACGTGTGAGAGTAATGCCGAGAGTGAACGTACGCACGGAGACACAGACGGCTCGCGGGTGGCGAGAGTGAATGCCGGCGCGGAGAGCGGTCAACATCGGTCCAACGTCGCTCCAATATCGGTCCAACGTAACGGTTGACCCTGCCTTGAAGACTGTCTTTCCACTGGGTTGGTTTCTCCTTCCGACCTTCCACTCATCGCGGAATTCTCTTACGGGGCCCTGTTTTTTGATCATGGGAGACGATCCAAGTCCAGAAACTGCACCGCGGTACGAGGGCGTCGAGAAAGTAGATAAGAAGAATAGGAGATACCGCATCTGCTGTATGAAATTAATTGGTGCACCCTTATCGTTTGTTTTATCTGTTTTGCTTCCTTACTGTAACTTTATTGCTTGTCACGGATGCGAAATTTAGGTCTGAAAGCTCTTCATTTCGATAATCTTTTCGCAGTTTCGTGACGAAATTACTTTCACTATGCTACTATTATAGGCAGTCGTAGCTGAAGCGCAGCGGATAGCCCACAAGTATGACCCTCCTCTACCTGTTTACGCATACACGAAGGTAGAGTACGACCCACGCAAACTGATATGCTCATTCTATACGGCGGTAAGGAATCTTTCATTTTGAAAAACCATCTGTAATTTTATAAAGTCACGTCAAACACAGTGTCAACGACTCGTCGTGTGATGACGTACATTGCGCAGGAAGCTATCGTAACCCACGCCTAGTTTTTATCGCTCTGAGAACTGCTTGAAAGTTTTGCGGTGATGGCCATGTTTCCTTGATGCGTCTCACTATACAGTGTGCGATTTGATTTGCATCTCGTTTTAAATGGCTGGCTTGAACAAATGACCCTTCCTGGTTAGACTTCCAAACTTTGAAAGGCTCTGACTAGGCTTCGAGGAAGTGTGTTGCAAAATCGTGTGCGAAAGCTACGAGCTCCTCTCTGACGATCAAAACCGGGCTTCGGTTACGACAGCTGCCTCATATCTATGTTTCCGCTACTTCTCTCACTAATTCAGAAAACTGGAATGTTGAAAATTTCCAGAAGGATCTGTGTAACACGATCATACTGCCATATGTTATGGGTGTCAATGGTTTAATTTTTTGGAGCAGCAGCAACAATATGACGGATCGATGCGGTTCGATCACAACCTTCCTAAATATGACGCTTGGACCGTAAGAACTGCACTTTTTCGAATGATCACCTGTAATTTACCTTCTATGGGAGCCTCATGTTCAATATGTACATAGTTCTTCAAAGAAATCCACATTATCCACAAGGTGTTTGCCAAATGAAAAGAAAAAATGTAGAAAATAATAGGAGCTTATTGTTAGCTATGACTTCACTACCCAAGGTTGGTGGGATAGAAGCAAGCAGCGTCGCCTCATTCGGGATCCAATGAAAGCTTATGCTGGTGTTGTACTTCGCCATAACAAACATGTACCAGCGGCTCAATAGAGCGGGACCCAACGTCCGAAGGAAGCCCGCTACTTTCGAACAGTGTCACGTGACAGTGGACCCTTTTTGAAAGTGGCGGGGCTTGACAGT